TTCTCGATCTCTCAATTTTTTCTATATTCGATTGACTTCTAGATTTTTCAGTTTTTCAGTTCTTTAATTTTTAGATTTTTCAACTTCTGGATTTCTCAGTTCTGATTTTCCATTTGTTCATTTTTTACTTTGGATTTTTCAATTTTTTGATGCTTCGATTTCTCGACTTCTCGGTTTTAGATCTTTCGTTTGTCGACTTTTTGATTTCTCGATTTATGGAGATTTCGAGTTTTCAGTTTTCTTATTTTTCGGATAATCGATTTGTTTTAATTTCGAAATTTTAAAATTTTCAATTAATTTTTCTATTTCGAGCTATTTCAATTTCTCGGTTTTTCCAATTTTCGACTTGTCGGCTTTTAAGCCGATTTTCCAAATTTTTGATGCTACGATTTTTCAATTTTTCGATTTCCCAAATTTCGGGAATTCAGTTTGGGGATTTTTCGATTTTTAGATTTTTCAGTTCTGATCTTTTTATTTCTCAATGTTTCTTATTTATTTTTTTTATTTTTCGAGTCTTCAATTTTTCGGTTTTAAATTTTTCAGTTCTTCAATTTCTCGATTTATCAAGATTTCGATGTTTCAATTTTTCGATTATGTACCTATTAAATTTTCCGATGTTTCAAATTTCCTATTTTTCGATTTATCAATTTTTCGATATTTGAGTTTTGGGATTTTTCGCTTTTTTGATTCAATTTTTTTGATTTTTCGGGTTCTCGATTTTTAGTTTTTCGATGTCCCAATTTTCCCATATTTCAGTTTTGTGGATTTTTCAATTTTTGTCTTTCATAAGTTTTCAATTACCCAATTTTTCCACTCTTCGATTCATGAATTTTTTGATTTTCCCATTTCACGATCTCTAGATTTTTTTCAATGTTTGATTTCTCGATTTCTGAATTTTTCAGTTTTCCAACTTCTCAATCTTTCGATTTTTTAAATTTTAGAGTTTTTAACTTTTCGGTTTTGATGTTTGAGTTTCAATTTTTCGATTTATCAAATTTTCGTTTTTCATTTTTTCAGCTTTGGGATTTTTCTATATTTCGGTTTTCGAAATTTCGATTTTTTAATGTTTCAATTTGCCGATATTTTAATTTATCAATTTTTTAAGTTTCAGATTTTTCCACTTCTCGATTTTTCAGATTTGAGTTTTCCATTTGTCAATTTTGACTTCTAGTTTTAGATTTTTGGAGTCTTCAGTTTTTCGGTTTTTGAATTCCAAAATTTTTCTGTTTTTCGATTTTTTATTCGATTTTTCGATTTGTCGATATTTCGATGTTTCAAATTTCCTATTTTTCGATTTTTGGGTTTCTCGACTTTTTATGTTTCAGTCTCTGGATGCTTCAATTTTTGGATTTCTCGGTTTTTCCAATTTCCGACATTTCGGCTTTTAAGTCGATTTTTCGATTATTCGATTTTTTAATTTTTCGATTTTCCAATTTTTCGAGAATTCAGTTTAGAGATTTTTCAATTTCTCGATTTTCCGTTCTTTAGATTTTTCAGTTTTTCGAGTTCTTAAATTTTCCATTTTTCTTTTTTCAATTTTTTTGATTTTTTGATGTTTCGATTTCCCCATTTTTATTTTTCTTAACGAGTTTTCGATTTCTCTATATCTCGGTTTTTAGATTTTTCAATTTTTTGTTCTCCCAATTTTTCAACATTTTAATTTTGGGAATTTTTCAATTTCTGAGTTTTCCATTTTTTCGATTTTTTGATGCTTCGATTTTTCTACTTCTCGGTTTTAGATCTTTCGTTTTTCGATTTTTCAGTTTGTTAGTTTTTCGATTTCTCGATGTATGGAAATTTCGATTTTTCGATTGTTCAATTTCCTGAGTTTTCGATTTTTCAATTTTCCAATTTTTCGTTTTATCAATCTTTTTTTAATTTTTAAATTTCCATTTAATTTTTCGATTTTGAGCTATTTCAATTTCTCAGTTTGTGGAATTTTCGACTTTTCGGCTTTTCGTTTTTTCCATTTTTCAATTTTTGAGTTTTGATTTTTTTCATTTGTCAATTTTTTCAATTTTAACATTTTAGATTTTTTAATTTTTTCATGCTTGGATTTCTCTGGCTTTCGATTTAGTGACTTCTGTTTTATATTTTTCATTTTTTTTTATTTTTTAAATTTGTTATTTTTCGAGTTTTTCGATTTTTCGATTTCTTAAATTTTACATTCATCGGTTTTTCATATTTTGTGATTTCTGATTTTTCGATATCCCAATTTATTAACGAATTTTCGATTTCTCGATATCGGTTTTTCGATTTGTAAATTTTCCGACTTCGATTTTTCGATTTCTGGATTTTTCAAGTTTTTGTTCTCTCAATTTTTCAACATTTTAATTTTGGGAATTTTTCAGTTTCTGATTTTTCAGTTTTCCGATTTTTTTTATATTTTAGATTTTTCGATTTTTTGGTGCTTCGATTTCTCGACTTCTCGGTTTTAGATCTTTCGTTTTTCGATTTTTCAATTTTTTTAATTTGCAAATTTTCATTTAATTTTTCGATTTTGGGCAATTTTAATCTCTCGGTTTTTCGATTTTTTGACTTTCGGTTTTAGATTTTTCATTTTTTTTTTTATTTTTCGAGTTAACAATGTTTCAATTTTTTCGATTATGTAGTAAATTTTCCGATGTTTTAAATTTTCTGTTTTTCGATTTATCCATTTTTTATTTTAAAATTTTTCGATTTCTCGGTTTTTCTAATTTTCGACTTTTTGGCTTTTAACTGCATTTTTCGATGTTTCGCTTTTTCAATTTTTCGATTTCCCAATTTTTCGAGAATTCAGTTTGGCGATTTTTCAATTCTTCGATTTTTCAGTTGTGATTTTTTTATTTGTCAGTTTTTCCAATTTTTAAATCTAAGATTTTTCATTTTTTTTATTTTTCGAGTCCTCAATTTTTCGGCTTCTAAATTTTAAAACTTTTCAGTTTTTCGATTTTTCAATTCGATTTCTCGATATTTCAATTTATCGATTATGTATTAAATTTTCCGATGTTTCCAAGTTCTTGTTATATCAAATTATCGCTTTTTTTATTTTAAAATTCTCAGTTTATCAATTATTAATTTTTGAATTTTTTATGTTTTGATCTCTCGACGCAATTTTCCCAATTCTCGATTTTTTCGATTTTCCTCATATTTGATGTTTTTTCGAGAATTCAGTTTAGGAATTTTTCAATTTCCCGAGATCCCGTTTTTCGATTTAAAGCTTTTCAATATTTCGATTTGTTAAATTTTTGTGATTTTTTGATGTTTCGAATTCCCGTATTTTAAATTTGTAACGAATTTTCGATTTGTCGATTTCTCGATTTTTCCCGTTTTTGTTCTCTCAATTTTTCAACATTTTAATTCTGGGAATTTTTCAATTTCTGAGTTTTTCACTTTTTTTTCCATTTTAGATTTTTCAATTTTTTGATGCTTCGATTTCTCAACTTCTCGGTTTTAGATCTTCCGTTTTTCGATATTTTGATTTTTTTTAATTTGCAAAATTTTCATTTAATTTTTCGATTTTCGGCTATTTTAACCTCCCGGTTTTTCGATTTATCCATTTTTTATTTTAAAATTCTCAGTTTATCAGTTATTAATGTTTCGATTTTCCCATTTCTCAATCTCTCCATGTTTCAATTTTTCGATGCTTCGATTTTTCAGTTCTGGTTTTTTTATTTGTCAATTTTTCCAATTTTTGACTTCTGTGTTTTAGATTTTTCGTTTTTTTGATTTTTCAGGTACTCGATTTTTCGGCTTTTAAATTTTAAAACTTCATTTTTTAGATTTTTCAATTCGATTTCTCGATATTTCAATTTATCGATTATGTATTAAATTTTCCGATGTTTCCAATTTCCTGTTTTTTCGCATTATCGATTTTTTTATTTTAAAATTCTCAGTTTATCAATTATTAATTTTTGAATTTTTTATGTTTCGATCTCTCGACGCAATTTTCCCAATTCTCGATTTTTTCGATTTTCCTCATATTTGATGTTTTTTCGAGAATTCAGTTTAGGAATTTTTCAATTTCCCGAGATCCCGTTTTTTCGATTTTTTAGCCATTTCAAATTTCGATTTCCTAAATTTTTGTGATTTTTGATGTTTCGAATTCCCGATTTTTAAATTTCTAACGAATTTTCGATTTTTTCAATAACTCGGTTTTTCGATTTTTAAGTTTTTCCGACTTTTCGATTTCCAATTTTAAAACTATAGATTCATCAATTTTTTTATGCTTCGGTCTTTCAATTTTTTGACTTCTAGATTTTGGTTTTTTCATTTTTTTGGCTTTTAAAATTTTTGAATTTTCCAGTCTTCAGTTTTAGGTTTTTAAATTTTTCAGTTTTTCGATTTTTCAATTCGATTTCTGGATTTGTCGACATTTCCATGTTTCAAATTTCCTGTTTTTTTTTTCGAATTAGCGATTTTTTTATTTTAAATTTCTCATTTTTGGATTTTTCGATTTCCCGATTTGTAAATTTTTTTATCGAATTTTCGAATTGTCGATATCTGGGTTTTTCGTATTTAATTGAAGCAAATTTTTGTGTTGGTAACTCTGAATTATCGACAGTATTGTCAGTATGTTGGGTCACACTTGTCACTTTTAAAATTAGAAAATGGCGGCTACTGTTTGGTGCGTTAATTTCAATTTGACAATCAGGTGTGCCATCATAAAATTTTAAATATGTTGCCAACCTGATCAAAAAATACAAATTTTAATAGTCACTCGGTATTAAAATACTTCGAAACCCCTGAAGAGTGACCAACAATTTTTTTTGTGTGCATAAACCGTCTCGGATTCCGGAAAGTAGATTATTGTTATTGCCATTATTATAGTTATATAGAAGCCGGCAGTTCTGAGAACAGGATAAACACATAAACATAAGTAGTAGCGTTAATGTGCGCCATAAAAAAGCTTTTATATAGCTTTCTAGCAGATACCCGCTCCCATAACCCAAATATCTCCAAGATAATCAATCCATTACCCTCCCTCACTTAAATTTCGTTAACCCGTCTTAATTTTCCAGAGGCGAAGTTTGCGTTCCCCTCGCAAGATGGACAGACTGCGGAGGTCCTTCAGGGATTCCTTTCGTCGGCGAAAGGACCGCGTCCCTGAGAGCTCCAAGCCGCACCAGTGGCAAGCCGACGAGTCCGCCGTCAGGTCAGGAACTTGCACATTCTCCGTCAAATATCTAGGCTGTGTCGAAGTTTTCGAATCCCGGGGAATGCAAGTTTGCGAGGAGGCCCTCAAAGTCCTGCGGGTAATACCCACCTAATCCTAGTCGAGCTGATAATGACCTGAGTTTAGGGCTCCCGGCGGAGGCCCGTCCGGGCGGTGCTGCACGTGAGCGGCGACGGCCTGCGGGTGGTCGAGGACGAAACCAAGGGGTTGATAGTGGACCAGACCATCGAGAAGGTCTCGTTCTGCGCGCCGGACAGGAACCACGAACGGGGCTTCAGCTACATCTGCCGGGACGGCACGACGAGGCGGTGGATGTGTCACGGGTTCCTGGCGCTGCGGGAGTCCGGGGAGAGGCTGTCGCACGCCGTCGGCTGCGCCTTCGCCGTGTGCTTGGAGCGGAAGCAGCGCAGGGACAAGGAGTGCGGGGTCACGATGATGTTCGACGCCAAGAATGCGACGTTCACCAGGAGCGGATCCTTCAGGCAGCAAGGGTTAGTGTCAAGTCGGACGTGTATAGTTGGTTGCCTAACCTAAACAATATGATTTTAAATTAAAATATGTCTTTGAAAGCGTCCAAGTTATGATTGTGGTAGGAAGAAAACACCACTGTTTGAGAGACGTTTCGTGTCTTTATTACTACTTCATCAGGGCATTTTGTAAGTTAACGTTGAAACTACAAAACCGAATGCTCTGAAATCTTGCAAATTTTTAAGGTATTCGTGATCATGGTAAATCGTTAATCAAAATTATTCGTTTATCCCGTCCCAAAAAATTGATGACGTCTAACTTATATTTTCCCAGTTTTTAAATTCTACATTTCTACTATTTTTTAATTTTTTGTTGCTTCGGTTTCTGGATTTTTCGCTTTTTTTCGTTTTAGATTTTTCAATTTTTTGATTTTTAAAATTACCATTTTTCGGGTTTTTGAATTTCTCGGTTTTAATTTTTTTTTCAATTTTTCGATTCCTTGATTTATCGAGATTTCGTGATTTTTCGATTTTTCAATTACCAATTTTTCGATTTTGGGTTTCAATTTCGATTTCTGCGAATTTACCAATTTTTCAGTGTTTCGAATTTTCAATTTCCTAATTTTTCGAAAAAAAAAATCTGCGGTTTTTAAAATTTACTATTTTTCGGGGTTTTGAATTTCTCGGTTTTAATTTTTTTTTTCAATTTTTCGATTCCTTGATTTATCGAGATTTCATGATTTTTCGATTTTTCAGTTACCAATTTTTCGATTTTGGGTTATTTCAATTTCTAGATTTTTCAATTTCTGCGAATTTTCCCAGTTTTCAATGTTTGGAATTTTCAATTTCCTAATTTTTCGAAAAAAAAAAAATTAAATCTGCAGAATCAAGTCTTATAATTTTACGAAAAGTGTGGATTTATTAAGCATAGACCAATTTTTTGCTACCACAATTTTCCGTTTTTTTTTCTACGATTTTACAATTTTTTGATATCATAATTTTTCATTTTTTCAACTTTGGTTTTTTCAATTTTTCAATTTCCGGACTTCCAAATTTTCAATTTTTGGAGAATTTAGTTTGGGTATTTTTCAATTCTTCTATTTTGAGTTTTGATTTTTTTTGTTAATTTTTCCACTTTTAAATTTTAGATTTTTTAATTTTTCCGTGCTTCGATTTTTCGATCTTTCGATTTTTTGACTTCTAGGTTTCAGATTTTTAATTTTTTGATTTTTATTTTTTTTTTGTTTTTTCGAGTTTTCAATTTTTCGGTTTTTAAATTTTAAAATTTTTCGGTTATTCGATTTCTCGATTTTTCAATCTTTCGATTAGTCAGTTTTTCGGTATTTAATTTTTTAAATTTTGGATTTTTCGATTTCCAGATTATTCTATTTTGTCCATTTTTCCAGTTTTTTGTTCCTTCGACTTCTGGATCTTTCGCTTTTTCGACTTCTCGGTTTTAGATTTTTCAAATTTTTGGTTTTTCGGGTTTTTGAATTTCTCGGTTTTAATTTTTTTTTCAATTTTTCAATTCCTTGATTTATCGAGATTTCGTGATTTTTCGATTTTTCAGTTATCAATTTTTCCATTTTGGATTATTTCAATTTCCAGATTTTTCGATGTTTGGAATTTTCAATTTCCTAATTTTTCGAAAAAAAAAAAATAAATCTGCCGAATCAAGTCTTATCATTTTACTAAAAATCTGGATTTATTAAGAGTAGACCAATTTTTTGTTACCACAATTTTCCGTTTTTCTTTTTTCTACGATTTGACAATTTTTTGATATCATAATTTTTCGTTTTTTCAACTTTGGTTTTTTCAATTTTTCAATTTCTGGACTTCCAAATTTTCAATTTTTCGTTTCTTCAAATTTTCGAATTGCAATTTTCCGATATTACAATTTTTCATTTTTCGATTTCCAAATTTTTCGAGAATTCGGTTTGGGGATTTTTCAATTCTTAGATTTTGAGTTCTGGTTTTTTTTGTTAATTTTTCCACTTTTTAAATTTTAGATTTTTTAATTTTTCCGTGCTTCGATTTTTCGATCTTTCGATTTTTTGACTTCTAGGTTTCAGATTTTTCATTTTTTGATTTTTAATTTTTTTTTGTTTTTTCGAGTCTTTAATTTTTCGGGTTTTAAATTTTAAAATTTTTCAGTTATTCGATTTATCGATTTTTTTATTTAAAAATTCTCAGTTTGTCAATTATTTCGTCTTTCAATTTTTGGTATTCGAGTTTTGGGATTTTTCGTTTTTTTGATTCTTCAATTTTTTCAATTTTTCGATTTCTCGTGTTACAGTTTTTCAATTTCTCAATTTTCTCGTATTTCAGTTGTGTTATTTTCCATTTTTTTGATTCTTCCATTTTTCGATTTTTTACTTTTTCGATGTTTAAATTTTTCGATTTTGCCATTTCTCGATCTCTCGATTTTAAGTTTTTTCAATTGTTTAATTTTTAGATCTTTCAACTTTTCAATTTTCCCGTTTTTTAATTTTAGATTTTCTTTCAGTTTGTCTATTTTTCGATTTCTCGATTTATGGAGATTTCGTGATTTTTCGATTTTTCAATTACCAATTTTTCGATTTTGGGCTGTTTCAATTTCCAGATATTTCGATTTCTGCGAATTTACCAATTTTTCAGTGTTTGGAATTTTCAATTTCCTAATTTTTCGAAAAAAAAAAATCTGCAGTTTTTAAAATTTACCATTTTTCGAATTTTTGAATTTCTCGGTTTTAATTTTTTTTTCAATTTTTCGATTCCTTGATTTATCGAGATTTCATGATTTTTCGATTTTTCAGTTACTAATTTTTCGATTTTGGGTTATTTCAATTTCCAGATTTTTCAATTTCTGCGAATTTTCCCAGTTTTCAATGTTTGGAATTTTCAATTTCCTAATTTTTCGAAAAAAAAAAAAATTAAATCTGCAGAATCAAGTCTTATAATTTTAGGAAAAATGTGGATTTATTAAGCGTAGACCAATTTTTTGCTACCACAATTTTCCGTTTTTTTTTCTACGATTTTATAATTTTTTGATATCATAATTTTTCATTTTTTCAACTTTGGTTTTTTTGAATTTTTCAATTTCTGGACTTCCAAATTTTCAATTTTTCGATTTCCTAATTTTTGGAGAATTCAGTTTGGGTATTTTTCAATTCTTCTATTTTGAGTTCTGATTTTTTTTGTTAATTTTTCCACTTTTAAATTTTAGATTTTTTAATTTTTCCGTGCTTCGATTTTTCGATCTTTCGATTTTTTGACTTCTAGGTTTCAGATTTTTAATTTTTTGATTTTTATTTTTTTTTTGTTTTTTCGAGTTTTCAATTTTTCGCTTTTTAAATTTTAAAATTTTTCAGTTATTCGATTTCTCGATTTTTCAATCTTTCGATTAGTCAGTTTTTCGGTATTTAATTTTTTAAATTTTGGATTTTTCGATTTCCAGATTATTCTATTTTGTCCATTTTTCCAGTTTTTTTGTTCCTTCGACTTCTGGATCTTTCGCTTTTTCGACTTCTCGGTTTTAGATTTTTCAATTCCTTGATTTATCGAGATTTCGCGAAATTTCGTTTTTTCAATTATTAATTTTTCCATTTTGGATTATTTCAATTTCGATGTTTGGAATTTTCAATTTCCTAATTTTTGGAAAAAAAAAATTAAATCTGCCGATTCAAGTCTTATCATTTTACGAAAAATCTGGATTTATTAAGAGTAGACCAATTTTTTGCTACCACAATTTCCCGTTTTCCTTTTTTCTACGATTTTACAATTTTTTGATATCATAATTTTTCGTTTTTTCAACTTTGGTTTTTTCAATTTTTCAATTTCTGGACTTCCAAATTTTGAATTTTTCGTTTTTTCAAATTTTCGAATTGGAATTTTCCGATATTATAATTTTTCATTTTTCGATTTCCTAATTTTTCGAGAATTCAGTTTGGGGATTTTTCGTTTCTTCGATTTTGAATTCTGATTTTTTTTTTGTTAATTTTTTCACTTTTTAAATTTATGATTTTTTAATTTTTCCGTGCTTCGATTTTTCGATCTTTCGATTTTTTGACTTCTAGGTTTCAGATTTTTCATTTTTTGGTTTTTAATTTTTTTTGTTTTTTCGAATCTTCAATTTTTCGGTTTTTAAATTTTAAAATTTTTCAGTTATTCGATTTCTCGATTTTTCAGTCTTTCGATTAGTCCGTTTTTCGGTATTTAATTTTTAAATTTTGGATTTTTCGATTTCCAGATTATTCTATTTTTTCCATTTTTCCTGTTTTTTGTTCCTTCGACTTCTGGATCTTTCGCTTTTTCGACTTCTCGGTTTTAGATTTTGAAAATTTTGATTTTTCGCATTTTTGAATTTCTCGGTTTAAATTTTTTTTCAATTTTTCAATTCCTTGGTTTATCAAGATTTCGTGATTTTTCGATTTTTCAATTATCAATTTTTCCATTTTGGATTATTTCAATTTCCAGATTTTTCGATGTTTGGAATTTTCGATTTCCTAAGTTTTCGAAAAAAAAAAAAAATTTAAATCTGCCGAATCAAGTCCTATAATTTTTCGAAAAATCTGGATTTATTAAGAGTAGTTAGACCAATTTTTATTGCCACAATTTTCCGTTTTTCTTTTTTCTACGATTTTACAATTTATTGATATCATAAGTTTTAGTTTTTTCAATTTTTCAATTTCTGGACTTCCAAATTTTCAATTTTTCATTTCTTCAAATTTTCGAATTGCAATTTTCCGATATTTCAATTTTTCATTTTTCGATTTCCTAATTTTTCGAGAATTCAGTTTGGGGATTTTTCAATTCTTCGATTTTGAGTTCTGATTTTTTTTTGTTCATTTTTCCACTTTTTAAATTTTAGATTTTTTAATTTTTCCGTGCTTCGGTTTTTCGAGCTTTCGATTTTTTGACTGCAAGGTTTCAGCTTTTTCATTTTTTGGTTTTTAATTTTTTTTTGTTTTTTCGAGTCTTCAATTTTTCGGTTTTTAAATTTAAAAATTTTTCAGTTATTCGATTTCTCGATTTTTCAATCTTTC